TCACCATGCCAAGAGGAGACGTGCTCCTGTTGGCGTAGGGGCCATGTCTACAGTGAAGCGCCAAGGTACTGTTTTAAGTGTAGCAAAAGTCCTAAATCCTCTTAAGTTTCTCAGCAACTGTAGAGCAGCAGTGCCACCCAGTGGGTCTGTTGAGTCATTACACCTGTATTAGGGAAAAGGCCCCCTTAAAGCTTCCTTATACAGCTCCAGTAGCTGTCTGGCTACTAGACCGTAAGCTCTTTGAGAGCTAGGACTGGCTTAATTTGCATTGTCCAAGACCAGGCACGTCACCGGTGTTTTACAACTAAGGATAGTATTTGGACAGATCTATTGAGAAGGTAACTGTTGGAGTGGCTGGGGCGGGGGAGCTCTGCTGTAATATTGTGAGGTGTTGGCCTGCTCCCAGGGAGGCCCTGTGGAAGAATGTGATGTGTTGGTTAAATTAGCATGCCAGCATTAGGCTAGCTCGTCCAGAGTAAGTGGAGTGCAGACTGTCCCTGTCTACCCCAGGCAAGGATAAAAATCAGTGAGGCTTGCATGGTCACAAAGAAACGAGGCAGGTATGTACGTGGGGGAGGAATTGCCATGTTTTGAGCCAAGAAATTGAGCCAGGACCACACGCGAGATCTCAAAGCACTTTACAAAGGAGCTAAGGCACATTATCCCCATTTTACAGATGGTAAAACTGAGACCCAAGACAGTGCGCTATCCCTTGGACAACACTGGCTAGTTGTGGGAAGCCATAGGACAGGGATCGGCAACTTTTGGCACGCGGCCTGCCAGGCGGGCCAGGCCGGTTTGTTTACCTGCTGCGTCTGCAGGTTCAGCCAATCACAGTTCCCACTGGCCACAGTTCACTGTCCCAGACCAACAGAGGCTGTGGGAAGGGTGGCCACCACATCCCTCGGCCCACGCCGCTTCCCACAGCCCCCATTGGCCTGGAGTGGCAAACCATGGCCAGTGGGAGCTGCGATCGTCCGAACCTGTGGATGTGGCAGGTAAACAAACTGGCCCGGCCCACTAGCAGATTTCCCTGATGGGCTGCGTGCCAAAGGTTGCCGATCCCTGCCATAGAATATCTTCAATGGGCAAATTCAATGGGCACGCAGTAGGATTGGGCCTTAATAATGCAGCTGCTGCCTGCCTTTTCAGTAAAGGAATTGAATACCTTTGATCAAGCTGCAGCTTCCTCATTCTGCCAGTAGACGTCGCCATGCTACAAAGCTGAGCCCACAAAGTGGCAGAGATGGGAAAGGAGAAGAGAGACAGCCTAGACTTATCCATGTGCATGGAGAAAGGTGCTGCAGTAGTATAGTATAAGGGTGTGTACTGGACTGCAGGGACTACTGGCTTGAGCATGGGGCAGGGAAGCAGGAGCCCAAATTCCTGTTCTGCCACTTATGTACTATGTGACCATGTGCAAGTCACACGGTCCATCTGGGCCTCCGCTGTACAATGGAGATAACAAGCTTTACCAACTTGTGCCAAGTGGTTTGAGAGCCTCTAATGAAAGGCTCCATAAAAGTGGAAATTGTCATTGTGGACACTTATCCCAAACAGCCCTTTGCCAAAATGGGATGGGCACAAGTCAGAGAGGGCTGGAGTTCATTTGCCCCGGAGCTCTGCTTTCTTCAGGAACTTCGTCTGCCACATTTCCTAGTGCAGGCTGGAGCTCCAGCTTATGCACACTTGTGTTCTGCTGTATTCAACACAAATCAGACCTTGTTTCAGTTATAACCTGCTCACAAGTTATAACTGTCTCTTGTTGCCCCTGAAATGGCCTGTGCTGCTGAGCGCACAGACCTGGGAGCAGTTTGACACAGGGCCAAGTTTCTTTTTGCAAATTCTTTTTGAAATTGCTTTTTCTTTCCGTGGATGCAGAACTGGCACTAGATGGAGGCACATATGTGTGTTGTATCATTTCTAGTGGATATTTGCTAGCTAGGCTGCTAAGGCAATTGTCTTTCCTAGAAGACAGAGAGCCCTCTGGGGTGATAGCATCAGGGATTGGGGCAAATGTTCCCGTAATGGACAAAGTCAAGTGTGGAAAACATGTCCTTTCCGAAGTCCAGTTTACCATAAGGCAAGATGAAGGTTGCCTTTAGAATGACACTGAGAACATAGTACCAATACAGATAAAAATGTTTATTTTACAGCATGTGACTGTTTTTTTCGAAGACATTGAAGTGCCATTTCTGCAAAATGCTCTTTGAGCATGAAAAACAGCAGTGCAAGAGTTGAACGTTTCTTCCAGCCGGGATAATCCCAACTGAGGACTTGGCAGAATGGTGATATGTACAATTGATCACACTGATCTCATTTAAACACTCGCCTTTTCAAAAGTGGCCTCTAATTTGGGGTGCTGGGCCTCCACAGGTCCCACTGGAGTTGCTCAGCACCTCTGAAAAATTAGGCCCATAGTGGCCTAGGACCTGCTTCAAAACCAACTGAAGTCAGTGGGTCTCTTTCCATTGACTTCAGTGGGCTTGGGTTCTTTAGAGAGCAGAAAAGCTAAAGGAAGCTGCTTCTGAGAATCTAGCTTTGATTTGGTCAGGTACACGTCACCGGCCAAAGTATCAGTATTGGAGGGAACAGCTGTGTTGGAAAGGCTTCGTACCAGCATTTTCCCCAGGAGTTAGGAGGAAAAGCAAATATGTTAGAAGAACACAGATGTAATGATCCCGAGACTACCAGGTGGGAAGCACTCGTATTTATAAGCACAAGAACAAGAGGGTGATGAGTAATGACAGGGAAGCAAATTTAAAACAGACAAAAGGAATATATCTTAACAGAATATGTAGTTAGCTTGGGGAACTCACTACCACAGCATATTACTGAGCAACCAGCTTTAGTTTCAAACACTTTCCCATAAATAAGAACAGCAGTTGATGCTGCACCAGGAAAGTAAAGTCACAAGGACATTCAGTTCTCATGCTTCGTGGAATAAGCCGTTCTCCAGCTGGGGTCTGGGAGAAACCTCTAGTGGTATAGGAGGAAATCCCAGGGGAAATCGGGTGAGGAGGAAGGAACTGTGAAGCTACACACAATACTTTCTAGCACAATAAGCTACACTAGAGAGCACAATAATGTCATGCTAGGTTCAATTTTGTCTTAGAAAATGTAGGGGGCTGTATTAGGCCAGGCCTTCAGCTGATGTCAAGTAATGCATCTACACTGAAGCCAATGATGCTATGCAGACTGAGGATCTGGCCCATTTTCTCCAAGGGGCTGGGAGCTTGAGGTCACAGCATTTAAGAGGGAGTGAAGACTACTTGGAATATTTGTCAAAGCTTTGAATGGGATTCAGCCACAAGACACATACATGGCTATCGAATGGCTAACCCCCACCACCCCTATTGCCCAGTAGGGGAGACAGGACAGTGCTAGTAGTGAGGATATATTCATAGCAACAATGTGTGTGCACTCAGATGCAAATAAAGGGGAAAAACATGGTTTAAGCAGCAGCGCCTGGAAACTGGTGGCACTGAATGCTGTAAGAGATCCAGTGCATTGAATCCTGGGAGGGCACCATTATCTTCTACAAGTCAAACTAGAAAAAAAATGAGACTTTCATCTACACGCTGTCTGTACTCCACTGACCTGGTGAGACTATTCTGATAGGACAGCATGGTTGATCCTCTGCTCTCTTTCTGTACTTACCTAATTATAGTATACAGGATGGCCTGATTCTCCTGTTGCTTACACTAGCGTAGATGAAGAGTAAACCCACCGAAGCCAGTAGAGTTACAATGGTATAAGCAGGGCCGGCTCCAAGGTTTTGGCCGCCCTAAGCAGCCAAAAAAAAAAAAAAAGCCGCGATCGCGATCTGCGGTGGCAATTCGGCGGGAGGTCCTTCGTTCCCAGGTGGAGTGAGGGACCGTCCGCTGAATTGCCGCCGAATACCTGGACGTGGCGCCCCTCTCTGGAGCGGCCGCCCCAAGCACCTGCTTGACAAGCTGGTGCCTGGAGCCGGCCCTGGGTATAAGATAGTGGGTGAGAAGAATCAGGTCCAACATAAGCTGTTCCTAATGCAGAGTCAGGATACTGTGTAGTGTCTGCACAGTGGCTCCCTGTCACTGATGCTCATCAGGGCCTGAGCTATATGGGAAAGTTTAACTTTAGACGTGCAATCAAAACAAAGTTAAAAACACCAAATTACAGACAATAGAAATATCCAGGCATGCAGTTCTGAGCTGACACATGCAATCATCGTGCAAAACAGTTTAGGCACAACATTTATGACCTAAGCTGGATGCAAGTATTTCACACACAAAACCAAAGTGATGGTTCCCAACTGGCTCAGTATCATTCGTGTGTTTCCATGTCTACTTCAGGACACCAGCGAAATCATTGTCACACAGCAGAGGTGGGTCTGGAACGCATGAACAAATGTTCAGAATGTTTTGCAAAACAACAGTCGTGTACTTTTGTTCTGGACCATTTTGCAAGCGATTAAATTCCACAAGAATGCCTGGTTTAGCCTCCAGCGGAGTGCAAAATTCAAATTTTCTGAAAATGCAACCTCAGTCTGAATGAAGGGTTGAAAGAGGAAACGTTGAGCTTCATGCTCAAGCTCAGAATTTGCAAGAGCAATAAAAGAAATCGAAGGTTGAGGGTTGGGATTTCATTGTGAAATTATTCTACACCTGGAATTGCTACAGTTTGACAATATGGCTTGATTCTGCTCTGGGGAACCCCACCATTGTGCTGTATGCACAGGTTGAAAGGAAGCATGTGCCTTGGCTTGCTCTGTGGGAAAACTTAGTCAGTGCCTGCCCTGCGTTATATTTGGTTGACACAAGGATTTACTAGTGCTAAGTGTATTCAAAACTCAGAGGAATGCAATCAAGTATCCAACCCCCCAAAGACTTTGCCTTTCATTCATATCCCTCCCAGCAGCTGGGAGGAGTGTGTCCTCCTCAATTCAATTTGTCATCATGCACATCCTCATTTGTGTGGGTGACGTGAATTGCATGTTTAATAACAATGATAGTCCTCTCTTAAAGCATCTCATTTATTAGAGCACTGCTGCTCTGCAAACAGAATCTTGTTACTAAGAGTTTGTACTAGATCCAAGCCACTGCTGAATTTCCAGGTGTCTTCCTGTGGTCAGAAATGTGACCTTGTGAGTTCAGCTGGCTCGGGAAAAGGGAATATGGGTCTAATCCAGCAGCCCTTATGCAGGCAAAATTCCCATTGGCTACAATGCCTGAGTAAAGACTGCAGGATTTGGGTCTATCATTTTAACATTGGGATTTTTCTTCCACCAGGTTCCCATTCTTATGCATTTTGAATGACTGCTTTGATTGTTCTAGCAATGACGTTTCAGTTGAGGCACAGTAATGTATGATTAGTAGTAATAATAGTGCTGTTAATACAAATTATTGTAGGATTAAATGAAAAGTAACTCATTTCAAACAACCGCAGCCCAGACAAATCCCTCACAAATGACAAGGTGCTGGTAAATATTTCAAAGGCTGGGCATGGATTTAGTCATGGGCCCAGCTCCTGCACTCCATCCCCCCTACCTGTGCACCATGGACATTAGCGCCTTTCCTGCCTGGTGCCCTGAAATAGACAACAACAAAAACACTGCGCTGTAGGATTGTGCGCCTCAATCTACTGCAATGTCACCCCCAGCTGGAACAGATGGGGAGGTGGCGGTTTGGTAGCGAGTGTTGTCACAGAGTTTTAGAGTGGCCCATCTCCTGCCATAGTTGCTGCATTATATATTTTTTCCATTAAAAAAAAAACAAAAAAAAGTCACCCCTTCCCAGCACGCACACAACCCCATGGTCAGACTGAGCAAGAGAGGGCTTTCTGGAAACCTTTGCTCCCGAGTCGTTCACACTGAAAGCACAGACAAGCGTTCTTGCTGTGAGGCGACAGCTTTGTCTGGGTCTGCGGGGCGCCGGTATTCATAGCTCCATGAGGTCGTCACTGGAAACAACCTTGACGGTGATGTGACCTGGCATTTCGTCTGCTTCTCGGCCGCCTTTTCCCCGGAGCTGGAGAGTCTGCGGTTCTCTGGGGTCATCAGGGAGTGCAGCCAGCAGCACTTGTCCAAGGAACTGGTCACACAAGACGTTACTATTCCAGACCTAGACATACAATTACAAGGGAACAGAAATAACTGCAGCCCAGCCAGTGCTTCCCTGTCACACTCCACTGAAAAGGGTCATTCATGGTGGATAAGGGGCACTCACATTAACCCCCTGGAGCAGGAGTGGAGCACGAGGGGGATCTAAATTTGGCTAATTACCTAGAGCCTGAGGGCTGTTCTTGACTTGTCTAGTCATTTACATACACTATTAAAATAAAGACATGAAAACACAACCCCCAGCATTTTGCTTGGCCTCATATGTAACCTAGAAAAGGAAACGCCTGTTTGAGTTCATCACCAATAAAGCCCTGCATCTAATCAGCTTGTCGTCTCTTCTCTACAGCCCATTCCTGGCTCCAGGCCACTTGCATTTTACTCAGCTACCTATGGCCACAAGGGCTGTTCCTGCCATGGAGTCTCGACCAATCTCCTTTGGCCTAGCCACATCTCCTCTGCCAGAGGAGGAGGCGCCTCTATGGCAGCTCTGACACCACCATATGGGGGAATCCTCCATTGCCAATGTAAGTGCTTTTAAGGCTGATTTGTGTTGCCACAGTGGCACATGGCAGTCTTCACTGGGCCATGCATCTGGCTCGGCCTGTGAAGCCCTGTAATTCTGAATGTTTTTCTCTATTTTTGCCTCAATCAACCTGGAAAAGTGGGAGTTTGTGAGAGTGTTATGGAGGTGATGGGGGTTGTGTTAGCCTGATCCCCAGAAGGCTTATAATTCTGTTAGTGACTTGTCCCCAGGATAAATCCTGCCTATCCTGATTGGGAAACAGAGACCCCTTCCATCAGCTGTGTTATTAGGTTATATTCATACCCTGACTATATTCTGAGGGCTGAGAGATACCGGCTTTCTCAGCCTCCTTTTGCTCATAGTGGACTGAGCAGATCCCTTTCAGCTCAGAGGAGAATTGTGCCAGAGGAATTCTAGCTATAGCGTAGTGAACAGTCAGAAATGTTCACTGTTTGTAAACTGCTCTTACAGCACTACAAGGCTAGCTTCCCTCTCTGGCATTCCTTTCTAACAGCAGTGGATTGAGTTATGGGTTATTCTCAAAATCCTACAGAATCACTGAACCAACCAAGGAGGAGGAAAAGACTTCAAGTTTTCTTACATTCTTATGGTACTAGGCAACTATCAATTGTAACAGATTTCAGTGAGGGCACGCTCCCATAACTGCACTGGCATAGCCTCCTCTAAGTACTGATACTCCTCTTACTTAGTGGTTTAGCTGATACAGACCACACGTCTGACAGTCAAGAGATTCTGTTCTTGGCTGTGCCATTAATTCAGTGAGTGACTTTGGGCAAATCCCTTCATTTTTCTATGCCGCAGTTCCCTCAGCTATAAAATAGGGATGAAGGCATTTAACCACCTTTGTAAACTGCTTTGCAGTTTACAAATGAAGAGTGCTATGTAATGCCAGGGTATTATTAATGGTTACTATTTTGGGAGGTGGATACAAGAGAATCAATGTAAATTGAATTGCTCCAGCCATTGGGCCGTTAAGGAGAAGCAGTAATTCTCATATTCTTCTGCATCAGCAGCCCCAATTCTGGGTATTGATCTTGTGAAGGGGCAGTTAACATATGTCAGACCTTTAGCCCATCAATGTCATGTTTGTTTAAACCCCACTGCTGCTTTGCATTGCTGAATAAGCTGCACATGGACCTGTCTGTTTGCCCTGCGGTAGCATTCCTCTGGTTGCCTGGGGGAGCACGTACTTTGCTACAAGGCGCTGGGATTTCCTTCCTTACCTGGACAATTATGGGACGCTTGATGTTCTTTCTGTAGAAAAGTGCTTGTGTGTCAAAAATGGCACTGACGGTGTCTTGCTGGACAGCAGAGCGAACTTTTTGATTCTCACACTTGATAATCAGGTAGGGATCTGCTCCTGAAACACGTCAGCAGAGTCTTTATTAATCCCACTGGACTAGCTGAGAAACTGATTCCGAGTCAGAAACACCAGAGAGAGTCAGAGGAACAAGTGCCAACTACTCATGGGAGGCATCATTATGGGACTGGGAACAGGTGGCTGGCTTGGAGTCAGGAGAGGGCAAGAGAGCACAGGTTTGCAAATTCCTGATCCTGCCCCTGGCTCACCGTATGATAGTGAGAGGGTCATTTAGCTTCCCTGTGCTCCGCTGCAAAGGCTGGATCCCTCTAGCTCTTTAGCTCTTGGACACTGTCTCCTTTAAGAAAACAGTTAGGAATGTCTGGAAGAGGCAACAGCTGAGAAATTGTGCATCACTTAATTCATCTCTGTAAATAGCACCCGGGAATGTTGTATAACAGGGTAAGATGGCTGGAGGAAAGGTGCAGTACTTTTCCTAACTGGATGAGTACACAGCTCGATCTGAGTCTGGCCAGTGGTAACAGCTAATTCATGGTGGGCACAGGTTACAAGCTATCAGCATAGTCACTCCCATACTTCCATTATATCATAATTTGCATAGCCATTACGAGGCCAGTAGTATGACAACTGTACAGTGAGTGACAGCCAGGGCCGGCTACAGGCACCAGGCAACCAAGCTGGTGCTTGGGGAGGCACCTGGAGGGGGGCGGCGCGGCGCTCCGGCCGCCGGGGAGAGCGGGGCCACAGCCGGGCTCGCCGCTCTCCCCCCGGCGCTCTGGCCGCCCTCCCCCCCCCGCGCCCT